GGGGGGGTGATGGGGAGATCTAATTGAAGCTTACAGAATACTGAACAGTGGATGTTGGGAAGACGCTTCCATTAGTAGGAGAGACTAGTACCCGAGGGCACAGCCTTAGAGTAAAAGTAAGACCTTTTAGAATGAAGATAAAAGGAGAAACTACTTCAGAGTGGTGAATCTATGGAATTCACTGCCATAGAAGGCTGTGGAGGCCAGGTCGTTGAGTATATTTCAGACAGAGTGAGACAGGTTCTTGATTACCAAGGGGATCAAGGGTTCTGGGGAGAAAGCAGGAGAATGGGACTGAGGAACTTATCAGCCATGATTGAATGGCAGAGCAGACACGGTGGGCCGAATGGCCTAATTTCTGCTGTTATGTCTTATGGTCTTAATTAGATTCAAAATCCACCTGCTGCCGCGGTGGGATTTGAAAATGTGCCTCCAGAGCACTAACCTGGGTCCACGGATTGCCAGTGCAATCACATTATCACTACAGTGTCATCTTCCCCATTAGGACTTTTAGGACTGAACTGAGAAGGAATTTCTTCACCCAGAGGGTTGTTAATCTATGGAATTCCTTGCCCAGTGAAGTAGTTGACACTACCTCATTAAATAAATGTTTTTTAAAAAAAAGTAGATTTTTTTTTAACAATAAAGGAATTAAGGGATACGGTGACAACACAGGTAAGTGGATCTGAGTCCACAAAAGGATCAGCCATGATCTTATTGAATGGCGGAGTGGGCTCGAAGGGCCAGATGGCCTACTCCTGCTCCATGTTCTTATGTTCTTATGTTCTTATGTTCTTATGTTCTTATTAAATACAATGAAAATTCAGCCTGAAAAGGTTTCTTCCCAAAAAGAAATTTCTAAACATAAATCAATGCAAACATTAGGGGGAAAAAAAAAATTAATTATGCAACTTTTCAATCACGCACCCAAATATGCTGCAAGTCTCTACTGTTGACTGGGTGAAGAATGTAATTTGTTCCCAGAATCTTCAAGGTGCACTCCATATTCACATCAATCACTGTTCCACATTGATTATCCTATAACAAAATTCAGACACAGAATGAAAATCTACATAATTGCTAAAGTATTTGGTTATGTTAAGTGCATCTCACTGCAATGTGACAAAAAAGTCACAAAGCAAATGACAAAGCATTTACTGCCATTTCAATCTCACTACACAAAATCAATGTCCTGGATCTTCCAACAAGCAACAATCAGGCACTGATTGTACAAAGGCAATGAGTCCAGTCATCCCACTTCTGCCTCTGCAGCACTATGACTTAACAAAAACAGAGGCCTCAGTCATAGCACTGTACAGTCAGGCGTGGGAGACAGAACACCACCTTCATATGGCAGTAGCTGCCATTTGGCATGTTTAAAGGTTTAAGTGTGAATGTTATTGGGGTATCACAGTGATTGCAAATTCTGGCCTTGCCAGAGCTACTTTCTTATGTATAACTAAAATGCTAACATCAATAGCTCCCAAAAGTAAAATTTCAGACAGAAAAATAAGCATTTTGTTGGGGTGTCCTCTTGGCAATCATAAGTTGGGACATGCGTAGGAGTTCCTTCTATAGTTCCTCATCACCAAAACTCATCGGTCACCATTCAAACCCAATCATGTAACTGATCAGGGTCAAACTTAGGACCTTCCAGGCAAAAATAATCAGAATGATACCACTTGGAGGACATTTGGCTCTCATGCCTATGGCTCAGAAGTTTTTAAAACATTTGACACATTTTGCTGTCATCTATTTAAAGTCAGCAAGATTAGCACATATATCTAACAATATCCCTCATGAGATTGTTTATTGATCAGAGCAATAAACAAAGGAAACAGAAGAAAATGTGGATTGCAACGCTAAACAGGTTATCCAGGACAAATGAAAACGATTATCCAGGCACCACTCCCTGTCACTATTCATGCACTTAATCTTTGATATTTTCTGTCCTTTAATTTCTACCCAACCCTCTCACCTCTAATTGCATGACATTAACAGCCACATAGTACAGGACCTAACAGTGATGCAGAATGCCAAGATCCCTTCCATGAATTACATTAATGGATCAACAAACCATTTTCTGAGCACTCCACAATTACAGTTCTGGCACCTTCTGAAAAATGTACAGGTCTTTGGTCATCATGGAAAATGAACTGAGCGCAATAGTCCAGCACCATAACTACACTAGGCAACTAGCAGGCACAACATGCCAGAATTGATATTTTCACTTGCGAGGTCCCCAAACAGCAGAACTCTGTGCAAAGGGGAAAGGATGAGGAGGAAAATACTTGGAGGAATAAACATTGACCTTAGCAAGAAACCAAAATTATGAAATCTGGGGCTAGAAGGAAACTAGAATTCTTCAATGTCATTAGCAAAAAATGGAGACAACAAACTTACAGCATTTTTGCCCATGCGTCGAACCAGGTCACGGGGCATCAGTGAGCGGTCTTCGAGCTTGAGCTGTGAAGGAATAATAAATGAAGTTGGTCACTGTACTGAACATCAAGTAAACCAGAAAACGTTCCTCCAGCTCCACACCGTGTTGAAGTAAACTGAACCAGTGTAGATTATTCCATAATGCAAATCATGTATTACAGAATAGAGGCCGTAGTTACATTTAAAAGCCAGTAAAATGTACCAAAACAATGAGCTGCTTCAACATCAGGAGTGAAGTTAAAAATCATAGAGCTAAGCCAATCACTTAGCCAAGTAAATGATCATGTTTGCTGCCTACGAGAACGTTACACTTTTGCTCTGACAGGGACGTGAAGGTTTGATGAAGCATTGAAGATGAAGTTTCAAATTATCTGGCAATATAAACCTTAACTATATTTTACTGTAACGTAAAATTGGTGCAGATTTTCATCCCAGCAGTCTTTGGACAAAGTTAAGGAGCAATTGATAAAAACCAACAAACTATAATTGCAAGTAGAAAACCCCAAATTCTGATTGAATGATGAACTGATGCTGACATTGGTAATGTTCCTTTGCGATAATAAGCTAAACATATAACTCAGGAAATTTGCAAGAGAAACAGGCAAGAGTTGTACAGCAAGAAAAAAAAGCAGAGTACGAAACCGTTCACATCTAAAACGGGGATAAGTGAAGGCCAGAGATACTGGAATTCGAGGCTGGATCATAGAATCCCTACAATGCAAATAGAGGGCATTCAGCCCATTGGGTCTGCACTGATGCTCTGAAGAGCAGCCCACCTAGACCCACCCTTCCCCATAACACCACTACAGGACATTTTTAAGCACGACCAGCCTACCTTACTTGCAAATCCTTAGACTGTGGTAGGAAACCTGAGCACCCAGCAGGAACAGGGAGTACACGCAAACCCAGGCAGGGGAGAGAGAATATCACGGGGGAAGTACTTTGTGAGCACTGACAGACAGCGAGACAGTGCGACCACACAAGTGACAGCACACGAGAATAGGCTGGCTTTACTAGAAACAACCCATACCATGACAGACCAGGGTGTGGGCTCTCACCAGCAGATTTGGTTTTTGTTTCTAAATCTACACTAATCCAACTTTCCAGCATTTGGTCCATAATCTTGAATGTTACGACACTTCAAATGCACATCCAGGTACTTTTTAAAAAAGGTTGAGGTTTCCCACCTCAACTATGCCTTCGACAGCGCATTCCAGATTCTCACCACTTTCAAGGAGCCAGAGGATGTAGTATCAGAATTATTTAAGACCAAGTTGAGGAAGAATTTCTTCTCCTGAAGGATGCAAATCTTTGGAACTCCTAGCCACCGAGAGCTGTGCACATGGAGTCCTTGTGTATATTTAAGACTGAGATACATAGATTCTTGATCAGTAGGGAAATCAAGGGTCAATACAGTGTGGAGTTGAAGGAACACAGCAGATCATGCAGCATCAGAAGAGCAGGAAAGTCAACGTTTCAGGTTTACATCCTTCATCAGGGCTGGGGAGGGGGAAGGGAGCTTGGAAATAAATACAGGGAGGGGAGTGGTGCTGGGGGAAGGTAGGTGGGATGGTGATACGCTATAATTAACACCACCTTCTGGTTGCCAACCATTTTAACTCCCCCTCCCACTCCCTTGGTGACACGTCCATCTGTGTTCCTCCAGGTCCACACTGTATTGACTGACTCCAGCATTTGCAGTTCTTGCTATCTCTGGAAATCAAGGGTTATGGGAAAGGGCAGACAAGTGAACATGAGGAATGCCGGAGCAGCCGTGATCCTATTGAAGGCTCCACAGGCTGAACACCCTACACCTATTCCCATTTCTTTTGGTCCTCTGGATGAAACTCTTTTTCGTCAAGTTCCCTCTGAACCTCCTGGATTTCACTTCAAAATGATACTGCCTTGTTATTGACCTTTCGACCAAGGGAAACATCTTTTACCCACCTTATCCATGCCCCTCAATCATATTCACCTCAATTATGTCCTTTCTCAGCCTTCTCTCGGCTCTAAAGGAAACAACCTGAGCTTACGCAGCCTCTTAACATAGAAAAACTGCTCCAGCCCACGCAACATTTTTGTGAATCTGCACCCCTCCAGTGTGGTGATCAGAAGTGCACACAGTACTCCCACAGTCCTGTACAGTTCCACCATAATCTCATTATTATAATCTCCTCATTATTATAATCTATGCTTTGACTGATAAAGGCAAGTATCCCCTATGCCTTCTTAGCTACCCTATTAACCTGTCCTGCAGCCTTCAAGATCCCACAACTTCCTGGTACCCTGCCATTGAGTACTCCCTTGTCTGGTTACTTCTTCCAAAATGCAATACCTCCCACTATCCAAGATTAAATTCCATCCACAACACTAAATCATATATATCTTACTAAAGACCATCTTCCTCACCATCAACCTAATCTTTGTGTCACCACAAACTTGTGTCAACCCCCTCACATTCACTTCCACAGGCAGTCTCGAGTTGTGAACAGGTTCCATTCCTGAATACGGTCGTATGTCGATTTGTAGGCAAGTCAGAAAAGTACTCAAAACAATACAAAATAGCTGTTCGGAAGTATGAATGGACATTCACATCGGACCTTAAAATTACTGTAATGTGGGGCCTCACCTGCAAGGCGGATGCTTGCACGCAGACGTTCGCAAGTCAAGCACCACTGTGTATCATCCATACACATCATGAGCAAGGGACCCCTACCAGTGGGATTTAGTGATAGGGAAATAAAAATCTGTTCAGTTGTGCATAAGAGCACTTCTGGATGTAGACGGGGAAAAAAGAAACAAAGAGACCTAGCATGATCCCTGTGGTACGTCACTGGATACCAGCCTCCAGTTAAACAGCCTTTACCACCACCCTCTGTCTCCCACCAAAGTTAATTCTGGATCCAACTTGCCAAGTTACCCTGGAAACCGAAAAGGTTTTTACCTTTCTTTCAAAATCATTCTCCCATGTGGGACTTTGTCAATGGCTTTGCTGAAAAAAAGCTACATCAAATGCATTACAAACACCTACGCCTGGTCACCTTGAAAAATTCTACCAGATTTGTTAAGCATGTCCCTTCTCCAACACCCCCGCTACCCCCCAACACAGCAAAGTTATGCTGACTATTAGTCCCGAATATTCCCAGATATCCAAGGTTCCCTGGGCTTGTTTCTAAGTCAGTGACGCCTAAATTAATTTGACACCACCTCTTTCACACCCTTTCCTGTCCTGCCTCAAGATCTTACACCTCAATGTGGAGTTGCCAGTCCTGCTCCTCCTCAATCACATCTTGATGGCAACACTACAATCCAACATATCAATGCATATCCTTAACTCATCTGTTGCACCTATAATACTCTGGTATTAAAGTACAGGCCATCCAGCCTCACCTTACTTCCTTGAAATTCAACATGGCTGAACTTCCTCTGCCTTGGTTCCTTTAATAAAGTATGTCATGCCCTGCTGAACTAGTTTAAATTCCTCTCAACAGCACTTGCAAACAAACCCACATCATCCAGTTCTGCTGCCAAACAGTCCTAGTGATACAGCAATGTAAAATCCTCCCTCCTGCACCTACTCTTGAGCCATGCATTCATCATATTCTCCTATTTCTGTGCTCACAGGTTAAGGTACTGAACTGGAGCAGGGCCAATTTTGGGGCCATTAGGCAAGATCTAGCAGAGATCAATTGGGTGAATCTGTTTGAAGGACAAGGAACAACTGGGAAATGAGAGGCTTTTAAAAGTGTGATTATCAAGAGTTCAGGGACAGTTTGTCCCTGTTAGGGTGAAGGGAAAAGCTGGCAAGTTCAGAGATCCCTGGCTGATGAGGGATATTGAGACTTAAAGCCTCAAAAATTAAGGCAGCCTTAAAGCGCATTAAGGTGGTTAAATCTCCTGGGCCTGATCAAGACCATCCTCGGACGTTGTGGGTGGTTAGGGAAGGAATTGCTGAGGCCCTTGCAGAAACTTTTGTTTCATCTTCAGCCAGTGGTGAAGTTCCGGGAAACTGCAAGGTGGCTAATGTTGTTCCATTGTTTAACAAAGGTAGCAAAGACAAGCCAGGGAACCACAGGCCAGTGAGCCTGACATCTGCGGTAGGCAAGTTTCTGCACAGGATACGGAGGGACAGGATCAACCAACATTTGGATAGTCAAGGTCTCATTAGGGATAATCAGCATGGATTTGTGCACAGGAAGTCATGTCTGACAGATCTTTTAGAGTTTTTCAAAGAGGTAACCAAGAGGATGGATGAGGATAGCGCAGTGGATGTTGTCTATATGGACTTTAGTAAGAGATAACAGAGTGTGGAGCTGGAGGAACACAGCGGGCCAGGCAGATGAGGAGTAGGGAAGCTGAAGTTTCCAGTCTGGACCCTGTGTTATCTCTGACTTCAACATCGGCAGTTCTTACTATCTCCGAGTGAACTTTAGTAAGGCCTTTGACAAGGTCTCACACTGCAGGCTAGTCATGAAGGTTCGGTCACATGGGATCCAGGAAGAGCAAGCTAATTGAATTCAATTGGCTCAAAGGTAGGAGCAGAGGGTGATGATTGAAGGTTGTTTCTTGGACTGGAAGCCTGTGACTAGCGGCGTGCCACAGGGGCCAGTGCTGGGACCTTTGTTATTTACACAAATGATCTGGATGTGAATGTATAAGGCATGATTAGTAAGTTTGCGGATGATACAAAATTAGGAGGTATCACTGATAGCAAGGAAGGTTATCAAACATTAGAGGGATCTTGAAGTGGGCCAAGGATTGGCAGATGCAATTCAATACAGATAAGTGTGAGGTGTTGCACTTTTGGAAAATTAAACCAAGGTAGGACTTACAGTAAATGGTAAGGTCCGGAGGAGTGTTGTGGAACAGAGGGACCTAGGAGTACAAGTACTAGTTCATTGAAAGCAGCGTCAGTTGACAGGGTGAAGGCGGCAGCATTTAGCAGGCTGGCCTTCATTGGTCAAGGCATTGAGTATAGGAGTTGGGACGCTATGTAGCATCTGAATAAGTCATTGGTGAGGCCGC